TTTGTTAGGAGACAATTATCTGGACATTGCCCAGGCAAGTCTCCACAATTTGGGAAGTCATAAGTGCACACCTATGCACATACAAAAGATCAAACATACATTTAAGAAAGAACTGCCATCAAAACTACAAACCTTTCTTCTACTCCCACCCCACAAAAGAGTAATGACCCAGTCAGGGTTGCTCCAAAGTGCCACTTGAGCATTGGTGGAGCAGCTGTCACTGACACTGTTCTCAGGCTTGGAGGGGGGTAATGAAAATGGGGTCACAATCAAATTAGAGAGGGGGAAAACAAAGATAGATTTTGCTATGAAGGACCATAAGTGAAGGCCTAACATCTGTTGAGTGCACCATTAGTCAGTTCTGCAAGGAATCCACACTGCATCATTTATTTGCAGGGTGGATTGTCATGTGCAAATTCATCAACTTTTTTTTTCTCACTACGGTGACTTAGCACTGTAATGCAACCTTCTCAGAGTTATGCAGCCACTACTGAACACCATTTTTAAAAAGAGAGTATATGAATAACAGTGTGTGCTCCAGATAATCAGTGGATCATAAAACATAAGGCAGAGAGCTTGGCTATAGAAAACTTTTGCATTAAGCAAAACAAAGACTTGGGATAACATGGCCTTACTGAGGGATTGTATAACCATTTACTGCATGGTAATAGCTCAAAAACTATGAGACAGCATGCTGGAGAGCTGGTTGCATCTAACCATGTAGTAAGGTTAATTTTACCACAGTCCTGCTGCTACTTAGAAAGGGAATGCTGTCAGTTGTATATAAATACATTTTAAGTTGCCACACTAAATGGCTTTTCAGACTGTCAATTTTTTACTGTGAGTTATCTTTCTATGGTTATACCAAGAGGCTCAAGCAAAAATAATATATTCATTCACCTGCAAATCTTGTTAAGTGGGGGAGGAGAGTGCTTTTAACTGCTCTTCAAAAAGAATATAGAGAATGAATAACTGGCAGAAGGTGAAATCACTTATATCACATTGTTCTTTGCACATCAGCACTGCATATGGCAATTCACCTCCAAAACTGACAAGGAAGTACAGCATATTTCTGCATATACTGAGTCCAATACCAAACCTTTTGGAAG